TTTCAATGTTGTTTTTATTTATTATTAAACACTCTGGGTTTCCATATTAAACACACTGCTGTTTATTTTCTGTATTAATTTCCATGATGAGGAAAAAATAACGCTGTTACTCAGTGGACTACAGTTCCATCTTCCAATAAATACAACACTGACATACACAGTAGTACTGGCTTAAACTGTTGAATTTCATACCTGCCCATGATGCTCAGCATCTGTAAAAGTCGTCTTGAACACACAACATGGATGGCGAGCATCTCTTCACTGCAACCCAGATGGACGGCTCCAGGGGAAACTGAACCACAGAAAGACAGGCATCAACATGCAAATGTAAATCACATGTGTACAGAATACTACAATGAGCTGACTTCATTTACAAGCATCGATGGACAAAATGGACCCAAAGAATTATTCTCTGGATCACTCAAACTCTAGTGTACAACTGCCCACTGACTCCAGCAGAAAATACAGCTGTGCCACTAACATAACAATCTAGATATACAATCGTTTACATGGGGTTTGAGCATTACCTATTTACTCTGTTCTGGATGTAAACATCAATTTTAAGTCATCTTGAGCTAACTATATTCCAAGTAAATAAACTGGTTCCAGCACACAGCCATAATTTTATCCATCACAGTACCTTTCTGCTACCTGAAGGGCGAGAGGTTGTGGTCTGCGTCTCACTGGGCAGTTATCAGTTCAGGAACACCTGTTTACTCCCATAATAGTGAAATATTAAAAATGTTTTATTGTTTGTATATTAGTGACAAAAATCAGATTTTTGAATATATTAGTAAAAGCTGTAGAAAGCGTAGTTGTGTACATCTTTCTTTGCTTTTATCCACTGTACTCTATTTTCATTGCACTTATTTGTATGCACACCTGTTTCGCCAAGTTAGCTAACTTAGCTCCAGCTCAGCAGGTGAAAATATCATTCTACGATCTAAAGAAACGTTACACAGACCTTTCCACTTTGTTCCCAGACGACTTTCCAAGTCCATGTACACCTCCGACATAACACTGATAAGTTACATATTAAAGACGTTTTTACACGTGGTTTCACATTTTCTGAAGCAACGTTTCTAGTTTATTTGGATTTGAACAGGAAGTGGTTCTTCTTCGCCTACTTTAGTTTGAGCTCCTAACGACGTGTATCAGTGCAGCTGCCCCCTAACGTCCAACAGACCGTGTAACACTTCAAACTATTTGCATTACTGGTTGACAGCTGCCCCCTAACGGCCAACAGACCGTATAACACTTTAAACTGTTTACATTAGTGGTTGAATCTAAGTAACTACTATCATCGAGCTGCTGCACTTAGGTGAAATTTTCAGGTACTTATACCTTACTTGACTATTTCCATTGTATGCCAGTTTACACTTTTACTTCACCACATTTCTAACGTAAATATAGTTCTTCTTCCGCTGCATTTATTTTACTCACTTTGCAAATTAAACCCCCACATACAAAACATTAAGTATTTTTAAATTAGTTCCATCTAGACCAGCTACAACATTCAACTGCCCTGGCACATTACATATTAGTATTAACACTCCAATAATAGTAAAATATAAAAAATAATAATGTTTTGTTTGTATATTAGTGCCAAAAATCTGATTTTTAAATATATTTGTAAAAGCTGTAGACAGGATAGTTTTGTACTTTTTTCTTTTCTTTTATCTCCTACACTCTATTTACATTGCACTGTATGCAGACTTAGAGATACACACAAAAAAATCCTATGTACCTGTACTGTCTGTACTTGTCTAAATGACAAACAAATCTCTTGAACTTAATAAAAAAAAAACATACAAGTATTTAAACCTATGTAGCAATATTTGTTTCTTGCTACATATAACAAAGTGAAAATTTGTGAGATGGCTGCTTTTTAAAACTTATTTTCACTGAATTATCCATTAGTCTGGCTATAAATGATTTACTTGTGGTTTGTAGTAGGAATTTAAGTTGGACAGGAAAGGGGGACGGGAGGTTTAAGTAAACACAGCGTGTAACTTTTTTGACTAAAATCCATAGAGAGGCTCATCATTAAAACTAAAATTGAAGCCTGCTATTTCCAGTGTACAGGTTGTTCCTAGCTGTTAACATTTTTTAAATTACTTTTTGTGACTTGTGAAGCTAACTAGGCCAACATATCACAATGAAAACAAAGTATTACTTTTCACTTTAAGGTCACAACAAAACCCAACAAACTTTAGAAAATGTAGCATTTAATGAGGACACTGTCACAATCCCACTGACGAGTTACAGCAAAGAAACAGTCTAGCAATAAATGGTTTACGAGTGAAAGCTGCCCCAGGCCATCTACCAAACATATATACTGTTCCATCCTTGCGCTTCGACACCAAAGTGTTAACTAAAGTCCCTTTTAAGATTCATTCAGGTCCTTATATAAGCATAATATTATGCTATGATAACTTACAGTCAACATAAATAGTCCACCATTGTGCAGTATCTCCTCACAGAAGATGAGCTGCTGTGTCAAAAGATGTGTTCCTGGTTTAGTGCTATAAAAAGGAGATGGTTTGGACTTTCCTAAAAAAAAATTTTTTAAATTTGTACCCAAAAGCAGACAGGGTGATTCAGGAACTGTACAATGTGTACAGTTTTAAAAGAAGGAATGAATTTGTGTAATGATGATAGGGTCTGACCACACAAGATGATGCATCTGACTTTATCACCACTGTCAAAACATTTTGCTTTAGATTTGTTACATCACAATCATCAGCGGCGTCTGAAGGCACGAGAGATTCTCCAGGCGTTGGGTTCCTCATAACGGTTGTACAGAGGCTCGAGGCGCTGCTGTTTCTTCTGCTTGCTGAGGCGTGTGGGGTCGGACACTTTGAAGAAAGCTGGAGCAAACTCCACCAGCCAACGGGGGTCGATGGTGGTCACCTCTCGCATGTACTCCTTAGTGGTCAGTACCAGCTCATGATACACAACCCTGTTGACATGAAAGGCACAAAGTCAGAAAATTGGTCTTGAATGTTTAAATTCAACATCATAAACTGTGTGAAGTGAGGTGCTGTCCTACCATTCAGGCTGGCGATTGAACAGAGCACTGGAGGGGTGAATGTACACGACCTGCTGATCTATGAGAGTTCTGTAGCCCTCCTGAGGATCCTTTTTGGCTGCATTCCTGAAGAAGCCGCTGCAGATGGCCTTCTGGACTCGCACCGTGGCTTTGCCGCAAGATACCACGTCCAGTTTACGTCTGTAGAGAAAACAGGTTGTTGGATGTTCATAAGAAATCAACAGGACTTTCATAAAACCTGACGTACTGCTGCTATCAGGACTCCATGATACCTGTCCATGATACCCAGCATCTGTTTGCGGATGTCCTGGGCTCTGCGCAGGGAGCGAGCCTGAATGAAGTTCTCATAACACCAGGGGTTGGAAAACTTGTTGTTCTTCCAAGAGTTGTAGACAGCCAGCAGGGTCAAGTGATCACCCTCGGGCTGGTGGAACTTGGCCTTCTTCTGGTCAGCCAGAGCCTGCTTGTCCTGTTACACAAACAAGTACAGGCACATAATGGCGGAGTAAAAGGTTTCCACAAATAAGATGCTATGTGATTTGATGGTTCCACTGGAAAAAAAAAAAAATCAAGAGCAAATGATGGATGCACAAGCCACCACCACAGGACCAATAAAGTGTTTAGCAGAATTTAAATAAAAAACATCTTTTGAACTTGCTCCACAACAGGGATAAAATTTCCAACCACAGAACAGTTTGTTTGGACACCAACTCTGGTCTGACTATTTTCATATTCACTCAAATGCTGGGAAAGTGTTTGGGTTATTGTGAACCACAGAAGTATTAAAGGAGTAATATTATGAGTAATTAGACACACTTGGTTTGGCAGAGAAAAACAAAAAGGCTTATCTCCCTAAACAGTGTCTCCGCTTTCTGCACGGACAAGGATCAATCTGAATAACAAATTCATTTATTAGTTTCCATGGAGTGAGGCCACATAGAACAAAAAACAATCATGTATTTCTGCTCTGGTCTTAAATGGGTCTAGAAAGCTGCCCACACAGAATTCATTTAAAGCTCTAAGCTGAGCGTACCTTAGGCCTATAGAAGACATTCTGCACAGACAGCATCGACACGATGGTGAGCATCTCCTCACTGCAGCCCAGATGCACGGACATGATCAACATCTTACACAGCATCGGCTCCAGAGGAAACTCAGCCATCTACAAGACAGCGGTGCACAGAAAATGGAAGATGAAGATAACTGGAGTTGTGTGAGAGAACAAGAGAAAAGTGGACGCCAGAGAAGACCAACGCTCAGAGAATCTGCTTATTCCACAAACTGCATAAATGTGAATCTTCCTCTTCATATTCACTCCTGATTGAAACCAAATAAAAGGATTCTTTACCCTTCTACCGAGCCGTGTGAGTAAGCCTTCATCGTCCAGAGCTCCCAGAGTGTAGAGCTGCTCCATGGCTGTGATCAGAGTCTCCATCGGAGGAGCATCCATGAAGTCAAAAGACAGGAGGTCATTGATGCCCATTGCCTGCAGGAGGAAGCACAAATATAGCAAGAAGTTACCAAGTGCTAGCAAGTATACAAACAACAGAGATGTGAGGTCTCTTGCAGAGGCTGCAACGTGACCCTTTACCTTCAGAGACAGCACAGTGCTGGCCAGGTTAGTTCTCTGGATCTCGGGCACGTTGGTCGTCAGCATCTCATCTCTGTAGGCCCTCTCAGTGTAGAGCCTGTAACACTTCCCTGGCCCTGTTCTTCCAGCTCGACCCGCCCTCTGCTTGGCCTGAGCCTAAACCCAGAAGGACAAAACAAACTGTGTTAAGCTAATGAACTGTTCAAGAACAATATCAGGAGATCAATTTTAGCATTAATATGCTCGAAGAAAACATGAAGCACACCACACAGAGACTGTACCTGTGAGATGGGAGTCACCACCAGCTGGTCAATACCAGTCTTAGAGTTGTAGACTTTCTGCTTGACAAAGCCAGGGTCTACTACATAGTAGATTCCATCAATGGTCAGAGATGTTTCTGCAATGTTGGTAGCAATGACCACCTATGGAAGACAAAGAGGAAATAAAGGTTATTCCACATTTAAATAAAGAAGTAAAATGTCTTTTTCATGCCAGAATTGCTGCCTGGCAAACCTGACCTATATATATATATACACACACACACATTAAAAGAAAACAAAAACTACTATAAACTGGGATAGAATTATAAGCAGTCTGCTGAGTAGGGGCACCTTTCTGCTGCCTGGAGGTGCAGGGTCAAAGATCCTAGTCTGCATCTCACTGGGTAGGGCAGAGTAAACAGGCAGAATAATTAGTTCAGGAACATCGGGCCCCAGTGACTTCATTCTCTCGTAGAGGATCTCACAGGCGGTGTCGATCTCTTCCTGTCCAGTCAGAAACACCAGGATGTCACCTGGACAAAGTCAAGGGAGGAGGAGGATGTTAACAGAAAGAGTCGACTGGTGAAAACAAGCCCCGTGTTCCCAGATTCTGAAATCATACCTGGAGGTTCAGTCAGGTGGATCTGCATGACAGTGATGAGACTGGCATCAAGGTAGTCCGTCTCCGGCTCCTTGGTGTAAAGAACCTCCACTGGATACGTTCTCCCAGGGATAGTGAAGATGGGCGCTTCATAGAAATACTGAGAAAACTTCACAGCATCCAGAGTGGCTGAGGTTACGATCAGCTTCATGTCAGTGCGCTTCTGTACAGTCTGAGACAGAAACAGAGCCCATCAGCGCCGACCTGTTTCTCCTCCACTCCGCTGTGACAGAACACATTAGCTTGAGCTCATGCTACTCACCTTCTTGAGCAGACCAAAGAGGACATCAGTGTGGATCGTCCTCTCATGCGCTTCATCCAACATGATAATGGCATACTGGCCCAGCTCAGAGTCAATCAAACACTCCCTCAGCAGCATACCGTCTGTCATGTACTTAATGACTGTGTCAGGGCTGGTGCAGTCCTCAAAACGGATGGTGTAACCCACCTGGACCAGGCATACACTTCATTAGAATAAGCACATTGAGATTACAAACAGGGCTGCTGTGATTAGTTGACATGATCAATTATATTAAAATCAATATATTTAATTAACACCTGTTTTTAATTGTTGTCTTGTAAAACGCTTCAATCATTCATTAAAGCAAATGTTTTTTCTTCAGTATCAGAAGTTTGTCCACAGAAGAAGACGAATATCACTACACTGAGTTGCTGACATCAGTTGTTTTTGGCTCCAGTTGTTTCAGTTAACGCTCAAGTTGTGGAAATTTAACAGCAGCTGCAGCAGCAGCCTGCAGAGTCTGACTCGTTTACAAAAGAGGTTCGGTGTAAAGGTTTCCAAAGATGCAAGGCTTCAAGAATATGGCACAAAAGAACTTCAAACTATTAGAAAACATTAAGGTGGTGTGTACACTGTGCAAAGTTTGATTAGCACAGCACAGTGGCACTAATGTCGTGCATGAGCACCTAAAGAGAAAACATACAGACACTATTCTAGATGAAGCACCAGAAAAGGTAAAACAACTGTAAATGATGTCTATTCATGTCAAATACAATTAGTAGGCAGAGCTTTTTAATGTCTTCTGTCCTTGTAGCTGCTCAACCACTATCAAAAGGGTGATGTTGGGTCACTCACCTCTTGTCCTAGACAGCAGCCGTACTCCTCAGACGACGGGGCTGCGTGCAGCCAATCTTCCCCCTGGTGGTGTAACCTGCCTCTGCCAGGTACTGAGTGATCTGCGTGGTCTTACCAGACCCCGTCTCTCCAATCACAATCAAAATCTGGTTGTCATGAACAGCCTGTGGCAAAAACAAAAACTGCAGTTTCACTTTTGCATCTTATCTTGGTCTAGACACGAGTAAAGCTACAGGTGGATTACAAAAACCAACAAACAAATTATAATAGAAACAACACCCCATTGTTGCATTGCTTGTTTAAACATGTTTCCGCAGGGAATGTTTGGCATCATATTTTTTCTGCACTAGAAAAAAAAAGCAAATTAAAGAAGAGTGAAGACAGACTCAAATATGGTCATTTACATTGGCGATAGGTGTCCATCAACATATGGCTGTAAGACAACGATCAAACTATAAACTCCTATGTGAAGCAACTGGCTCCATCTCTGAAAAGTCTCCCTGTGGTTTTGTTGTTAAACTGTGACGAACCTGAACGAGCTGCTCCTTCAGCCTGTAGATGGGCAGGCTCTCCCTCTGCTCAAGAATGGAGAGCTGGGTCTTCTTTCCATAAGATACTTTGTTACCCCCAAACGCGTGCTTCTTCCACTCTGGGATGTCATTGGGCATCATGCCAATGCCTCTCATGTTGGCTGCAATCTGCCTGCCGTCAGCTGGAAAGTAAGAGTGGAAGTGTTCTCGATAATCAAACTGTCCATTTTTAACGCTCCAAAATCTCATCACATCAGTAACTACATCCCTGCCAGATTTGCAGGGTTATGGCAGGATATCGCCCACCCCTGGAAACTGCCTAGACCATCTGGGGCCATGGAGGGCACACTGAACCATGACAGCACCATTCCATCCAGCTAGATTGGGACTGCAGGAAGCCAGATAACCATTTCCAGCAGTGGGTGGTCTGAGTGGTGGTGTCTGATATCAGTCACATAGGAAGTTGCATGTCTGGCTCAGACTAGGCTGTGGTTTTGAAAAAGCACCCCTAACTCACAGGCTGCATTCAAAAATGGATTCTGATATATAAAGGTAAGAGTCCAATAATCAATGAGAAAAGATTAAATCTATTTAAATAAGAGGTTAACACAATCAGCATGCTAATTTCAAAATGTTCTTTAGCATCAACTGTGACTTGAAACTGACTAACCATCTGGCAGCGGGTCCACCCAGTGTTTATTCAACCCCATGGGGATGGAGTCCATCTCTGCCTCTCGTGCTGCCTGCTTCAGCTCTCGTCGTTCCTTAGCCAAAGCGCTCTGCATCATGGCTGCCTGAGACAGCGAGCCGTCTGGATTCTATGCACAGTAGAGGTAAAACAGAGGGGTCACCTTAACCCTGTATTTTAAACCACTATGTATATGTGTGTTGGCACAGCATCCAAGTGAACTGGACAAAAACTCTTGTTTGTTCTGCTAGCAATTTCCTTCTTCTGCAAATTCTAAAGAAAAACAGGCTTAAAAGAAAATTTGACACAGTGAACTCTGCTATAAATCATTAATGTACTTTCCAAGAAACAGCACATGCTGACATATAGTGAAGATGTACCTTGACAATCTTTACAGGGCTCATGTCCATGCTCTGTTTGGTGTGTCCCCTCAGGAACGGGGGTTCCTCTTCTACCAGCTCAATTTCCAGGTCTTCATCTAAATGACAATAAACATGACCAGTTAATAGACAGTCAACTCTAAGCATATATTTCAACAAAAACCATGAAAAAGCTTTGGATTAATTAAATGTTTAAAGTTCTCAAATCAATCTGATAATCATGTTACAGCCTTTGTTAACATTAGTACCGTGTAGAGTCATAAGAAAACCATGTGTGCTTTACTAAACAATCACGTGTATTGTCATTGCAGTGGCTGTGTGATGAAGGATAAAACAACCTCTCACCCTCTTCATCATCAACTTTAGGAAGGATGCCTGTCTCATCATCAAAGTCAGGGAACTCTTCTTTTGACAAGACGTTGGCAGCGATCATCTGAGGGCAGACAAACAGCATGTGTACTGGACTATTGAAAAAATAAGCACTGAAATGGGATTCAGTGTTTCCTCAAGTACTTAGGCAGCCTCTACCACTATTAACTGTGGGTCAGAAATGACAAAACTCCCACCTGCTTGATCTCCCATTTTTCTGGGTCAGAAATCTTAGTGAGCCGCTTGCGCTCCAGCGTGTCATCCTGCTCCAGCTCAGGGGCATGGCCCAGGTTCAGGTTACTTGGCCGGTCGGGGTTCCTCATGGAGACCTCCTCACCTCCATCTGGGCCTACGTTCCTCCTCCTGTTGGGGTTCAAGTCTTCACCTGTATCCTGGTCCACATCCTGGCAAAGGAGGAGGAGTAAGTATTGATTGATGCATTGAAATAAATGAAGTGGGCACAATAAGGGATGATTTACTGCAGGATTGTTGTATTACAGTGACTTATTTTTAGTAAGCTGTACCCAATAAACCGAGTGTATAGTGCTGAACAATTTCTTACCTTCATACTGAGGCTGGTTTTGGAGCCAGTGAATGACAGCACCTTGACTTTGACCCTTTGGCCTTTGCTGACAACATCAGCCACATTGGCCACACGGCCTTCTCGACGCAGCTCAGAAATGTGGACCAAACCCTCCCACCGCTTCCTAAACATTGAGAACAGACAGAGCAACAGAACAGATACCACCTGATGAATAATGCTCTATGTACGCACCAGATCTAACAAGTGGTCTGAAAGATGGTCTGAACAGTTGCACACAATTTACAGAATTAATGTTTTTACCTGGGAGAAAGAAAAAAATGTTTCATCAAGTTCCCACTGAAGTTAGACTAAAGTTGCGTTTATAGCACTTTAGTGACCTCATACTGACCTCAGTCCCTCCAGCTGAACAAAGCATCCAAACTGCATGATGCTGGTGATTTTGCCATTGTAGATATCGCCAACAGAAGGCTCCTCTGGTGGAGGGCGGTCCACGTGTTTATCCTTCCAGCGGTCAGAGTCTCTGTCTTGATCTTTTCTAGGGCTAGGTGAGCGCTCTGTCCAGCGGGAAGATTTGTCTCTTCTTTTCCCACGATCTCTGTCTCTGTGACGATCCCGGTCTCTGGAACGAGACCTGGATCTGGAACGTGACTGGGAGCGATGCCGCCTCTTCCTGTCCTTCTCTCGATCTCTGTCCCTGTGTCGGTCCCTTTCTCTGCTTCTGCTGCGACTTCGGCTGTGGTGCCTGCTCTTTTCTGACCTGCAAAAACAAGTGGAAGTAAACATCACAAACCACTGAATTATGACAAACTACACTGTGCATATTTGCTGGCTGTGGCATTTCTGTGAATATTTAATAAAGCAAACATCATATATTTCTATTTGAAGAAGGCAAATAAAACATAACCAGTGTTTCCATCAAGTCAACTTACCTGCTCTTGCTGGCTTTGGAGTCTGTCCCACTGACACTGGGCATAAACATCTCCAACTCTTTCATAGCATCAGCTGCTACTTTCACATCATCTTCATCTAGTAGCTTCTGAGTAGAACACAAAAATAAGTACAACAGTACAGTTCAACCCTCACTGGTTAACAATCACATTAAGCCACCTCACATGACATTAGGGCAATGGTGGCATTACAATTCAAACTGATACAACCAACAAACAATGTGTTAAAGCCATGTACCTTTGGTGGAGGATCATTTGGTCTACACAGTGCAGGAAACATCTCCTTCAACCTCTCCTTTTCTGTCTTCGGCTTGACCAAAGTCTCAGAGGCTTTAAAAGGGATGGACAGTCATTATTTTTGATTATAGCCAAGGAAGAAATGTATGAGCAAACAAAATCACTGAGCAAATCTGAATTTCTTCTCTATTGCCATTAACTAATCAACACCTTCAGTTAGATGAAAAGCCATTAGAGGTATTTTGAGCATTCAAAGATCCTTCCCTTAGCATCCAATACAATGCGTTTATAAGTGTTACAGTTTAATTCTGAAGTTAAACGGATGCCCATACTCAACAGTAACATTGACTTACTTTTACTTGTAGATGTCTTGGATGGAGGTCGCATAGTCTGAATGAGCCTGAGCAAGTTACTAATGAGAGAGTCCTACAATAAACACAACAAAACAGAAACATAACTTAACGTTACCAAGTTGATGTCAGCAGTTAGCTTACACTACTTCATGGCTGTTAATGCAGTTTTTGGAGATGAACTTACAGTGAATTCGGCTCCATTTTGGAGCAAAAGAGCTCTGAATCCATCAAAAGTCGGTTGTTTTTCAGCAAGACTGATAACAAATTCAGCTGGGAAAGAACAGAAGGGCGGACATTAGCATTAGCTAACGCTAAATGGCTCTCTCAAACTACGTTAGCGCAACGTTATCACAGGACACAAAGTAACGAGTGTAACAATGTTAAGTTGTTATTCCAAATTTAGGTAACGTTAGCGTTGGGTGGCAACAGCACATAAACTATATATTATGCTGAAGAACATATCAAACTATCCTAGACTAATTAACACGGTAGGTAGCTAACAATCGCTAAATTAGCATACGGTAGCTAGGATTTTGAGCTAGAGCGACTATTCTCAGGGACAAAATATTCACCTAAATCTTTGTCACTTATTCCAAGATGGTTGTCAAGTTCCGTGCAAACCTTGGACACCAAAGACAAATATTCAAGTTGCGATAACTCGTCAACTCCACCGTCTGCCATCATCCACTAGTCTTGTTTATGTATAAAGAGGAATATCACCGGCAGACATATTGGACGTGAACTTCACTTCCGCCTCTGACGGAAATACGTAAGCGTTTCCCGTTTTGCACCCTTTTGCCGCACAGTGGAGCTGAAATGCGTAAAAATACATTTGTAACATCACCACTACTGATGTTTCATTATATTGAAGCTTTTAGTGCGTGAATGAAGACAAATTAAGCACAGAAATAAAAATGAAACCAATAGCCTACACATTATTGTTTGTAGTTGCATTTTTATGAATGCATTTACTGTGTCATAATCCAATAAAAACATATGTTGGTTTTTGATAGCCAAATGATTATGTTTTTTTCCACATTAAAATAAAATGTTCGGAATTCCACATAGTTTTTACATATATGAACTGGCTTCTACTGTGCCTACATTTTAACAATCACTCACTCCATGCAATCATAAACACCTAGCCCACTGGACTTTCTCTCCGGTTTGATCTTGGCCAGTAGATAAAGTGATACTACATACAGTCATGATTCATGATTATACTCTCATTAATAAAGTTTTGAGTCATGGAGGTATTTTACTGAGAGGGAAATGTAAACCAGTAAATCACAGCTTTGCATGACTGTCGGGGTCATTGTAATGTATTGTGTAAGGTGAATGGTGTTTATGTTGGAAGAACCTGTTGGTATGCATGCCATGGGAGATATCCTTCCTCCCCCTGTCTTGGGATAACCCTACTTATGCCACATTGCCCTTGTCCTGTGGATCCTCCCTCACATTCACATCCTCTCTCTGGTTACTCTACATGTTTCCCTGTATTGGTTGTTGTCTCTTTTCTCTCAGACCCCCTACCTCTAATCTCCTTATTAAATTTAATCCTTGATGTTCACCTATAAACACACTAGGCTGCTCATTAGTCAGACTAAAGCTTAATTCCTGATGAAGAAACCTTTCATTAATTCTAGCATGATTTCCATGTTCACACAACCTCTGATATTTTATAATTGTAGGATTATGTCTGCATGTGTCTAACTACACTGAACCTCTACAAGCACTGTAATTGTTTTACTTCACTTCATAGTTCTCACATGCCCACTCTTGCTTCTTTAAAAGCATACATTTTGTATGTTTATGTATTGACTTGGGCTGTAATGGATTCTCTCAATAAAGCTTTCATTTCCTCAGAAGTAACACGTGATGTATTCCATGTCAGGGCATTTTTTTCTCCAGCATGTTTCTCCTTCCTTGCACAGTTCAGAATACAATCTGGAATTTATTTATCTGATTGACATATGAGTACTGATTTTGTAAAGGAAAATACATTTTAATAAAATTCATGAAGCAACTCCAGTGCTGATAAACACCCCACATTTGTGCATCCTTTGCAGCCAAGATGAATAAAAAAGTACTGGCAGAAGTTCAGAGCATATGCACTACATGGCCAAAAGTGTGTGGACATTTGAACATGACACCCATCTGTGATTGCCAGACATCTAATTCTAAAACCAAAGACATTAATCTGCTGCTGTAAGAGCCTCCACTCTTGTGCAAAGACATTACTGGATAGTGGCTGCAGAGATTTCATCCCATTCAACCTCATGAGCATAAAAGAGGTTCAGCGCAAATCAAGTCAAGTCAAGATTTTTGCTGACTGATAAGGTCTCAGCTGGCACTCCGGTTGATCTCAAAAGTGCTGGGTGGGGCTCAGTGCAAGTATTTTTTTCTGTCAGACTGGGAAAACAATTTCTTCATGAACCTGGCTTGGTGTACAGGAGTACTGTTTTGAAACAGGAAAAGGCCTTCCACAAACTGCTGCCACACCTCTTAGCATAAAGACTGGAGGTAGCTGCTATCACCTTTAAAGCTCATGTGCTAATATAGTGTATCTTGTTTGTTTAATTCATACACAAAGTGAAATTCAGAAACAGCAATTTGTGACATTATAGGAAGGTGAACAGCAGCTGAAGCGACTTCTTGGCGTCTTGACGTTGCAGTCAGAGTGATTATAAATGGAAAGGTAGTTACACCACATATCTAAAGTGGTAAAGAATGAGATTCAGTTTTTTGTATTAGAAGTGCTGGTGGGTGTATATCCAAAATGTAATGACAGCTAGCTATTTCCTCCTGTTTTCTGTTTTTATGCTAAAGGTACAGCCATAGGAATGGCATCAAGCTTTTCATCCAAACTTTCAGAAAAAAAACTAAATAGTTTGGCCATGTGATGTATTAGAAGTATACAAAATTTCCATCAAACAAGAACCCAGTTAATCAACAACAACAGAAACAGATGGCTCCATACTGCTCCTTTAATTTGGGTCTTTTAAGATTCATACAGAATCTGTTTTTCTCTCAGTACTTAGGCAGAAATCCAGCCAATATTTATAAAAATGTTTCCCTTCTTTCGTTTTTCTTCCCCTGTGTGGTATTGTCTTCCAAGATTATGTATGTATTTTCAATGACAGGACTGCTTAAGAGCAGTTCTCTTACTCTGCCGTCCTCACCTAACATGAGTACAGAGGAAGAAGAGATATATATGGGCAAAGGGAAGGGGAGGGGTTGAGCTCACACTTACATAAGAGGCCTAAAATGTATATAGAACACATACACCCTGTACACAGCTGTCCTTGGCGTCCTTTCAAGAGAGTAAACATGAGTTCTATGATGATATCACAAATGAGAAAGAGGAAAAGACAGAGCATTAGAGACAAGAAGAGAAAAAAGACAGATGCTGTTGGAGCTGTAAGATTCTTTAAAAGGAGAGAGTGTATGTCCTAGGGGGTAGTAAGAGACAGAGAGGGAGGTATTAATAGGCTGCCCCGTCTAGCCTGGAGTTCAATAGTTGGATTTGCATTCTACTGCTTCACTGTCCTGGTACACAACACATGTTCACTGTTGTATGAAGTTGTTTTTTTTTTTAATCCATTTTACTGCTGTCCTAGATGCATGGGTAATGTTTAGCTATGCACACGTGGAAAGTCAGAAAAAGCAGGTTGGTAGAAAAAGCTTGTCTGCAAACAGTCTTTGAGATTCAAACATATTAATTGACAGCACAGCTGGCTGCAATGTTCTCCTGATTTTCCATAGTGGAAAATTCCTACTATGATGGTACACGAACTACACAGTGTGTGTGTGCGCACATGTAAGAGAGAAGCAGAGCGAGGAAAGGAGGCGGGCGATTTGAGGGGGCTGAGCTATCGTCCAAACAGCTAGTAAAGGATTGGTTGATGTATAAGCTGCCTTTGTGAGATCACAGTCCCCACAACAGCTTCCACACACGGTGGACTTCATGTGAAAAGAGCCACCCTGCACAACAAATAAATGAAAAATGTGTTGTGAAGTCACTCATATCGCCTGCTATACACTAATTACACACTCCTCTAAAAGAATGGACATTTCAGAGGCAAACCACAGCTCTTTTTCTTTACAGAGTTGAGTTGCATGAATCACAGTTTATTCCTTTCTACACATGTGGTTACCAGGGATAAAAGTGATGCATATGGTAACAACCGATTAAATGTCTATGGGTAATGTGAAAGAACCACTTATCAACTTATGGAGAATTAACGTCCAAAGCTGCAGTTAACTGAAGTTCTGCTGAGAGTTTTAAAACCTCTTTTAGCTCATTATAAACAGGCAGCTGTTAGCTAAATCCTTAGCCATGTTAGCCTTAGCCCAAGTTGCAAAAAGTGCATTGCTGTGCATGTAGGCATGCCATGTAATATTATTTTACATACAACTGATGTATGTGTATTTATATATAGGTTTAGTTTTGAACACAGCAGTTTTTCGTAGAAGTTGTTAAAAACTGATTTCTTGAAAATGAATGTTTATCACAGGCCATCATTTCACCAGTAGATGGTGACACGCTGTTAGTCATCCTCAGGTGACCCCTTATCACCTGGTTCATCACTGCAGACCTTTACTCCACATCACCGTTTGCGTTTCATTTTGTCACAGGTCAGACTCCAACCTGGATCCTTGTTTGTACAAAACACCTGAAACTGAATACTCTTCAGCCTCAAAGCCAATTTTACCTGGTACTTTTTTATTTATTTATTAATTTATTTATTTATGTTTGCCTTGCAAGGTTTTTGGAAAGACATATTACTCCACATTGGTACTCTCTGAGTTATTAAAGGCATCACATGGGAGCTGATGACAATAACAAATAACATTTTTTTCCCCAATCATAGTGACTGGATGAGTCAACAAAACTTTGGCCAAACACATCCTACTGCATATAACAAAGAGACAATAAGGTGATAACAGGAAAAGCTTTTGTTGGTTTAATTTATTAGTCCATCAATGAAAACCTCCAGCACACAATGTAGCTGGAAGTAACTGAGCCAATAACAGACCAAAGAGCCAGTCAGATGCAAATGTAGTCACATATTTATTACATAAATATATAGTAAAATAGACCAGCGACAATTACCATAAAAATATCTTCCTTTAAAACCCTGACCATGAACAAAGATTTGAAAATCACACTTTGACATTTACAAACACGCTGATTGTCTGGACCTGTCGTAAGCAGCCCACCACAAAAACCTGACATCACACCACCCACCGGACTCGTGAGGAGGAGGAGGAGGAAAAAGGGGTGGTGGGTGGTCAGGAACAGCTGGGGATTGGGTAAGCATGGGGAGGGACAGGTCCAGGTGTTTTGAAGGTGTGGGTGGTGCGAGAGGAGATCACAGTAGATATTCGGAGGTTTCCTGCACATGAGTGTTTATGTTCATTTGAAAGATGAGACACTGTGGAGTTCTTTAACCCCGAGCGTTGCCTAAAGCTGGACTGTATATCCTTGCATGTTTGTTGCCCCTGTGCTTTGTGGGAATGGTTCCTGAATATTATTCCTTTGCTTTGCATGTCTATGACAGTGAAGCCATCTGAGACTTAAATGAGGATAGAAACCGAGGTAAAGAATGGAGCCGGGGTTGAATAATATTTCCAGATACTTCTTGTCTGGCTCAACCTGCACCAGATAACATGAGTTATTTACATAGAAAAGTAAACTAAATCAACTTTTAAAGAGTTTCTGCTACTCTTTGTATTACCATGAAAATACATGTGTGGCACCTCTGGATTGAGACATCACTTTT